CGTTGATTTGAAGATCTAGAAGTCTAGGAATAACCCATTGATGACACACGTATACCTTTGTCGACTCATTCTCTCCAAATGCCATCGTCATAGCCAAGTTAGCCAAAGCATCAGCCTTGCGATTTTCTTCTCTTGGGACGTGGTTTAAGAACACTTGGTTGAATTTTTCAATTAAACCAGAAACATATTGATGGTATGGCAATTGATCTTCCTTCTTTACCTCGTAATTCCCCAAAAAATTGTTGATGATTAGCTTAGAGTTGTCGTAGATCTCCAATTGTAGAATCTTCATTTCTAATGCCATTTCGAGACCGATGATCAAAGTTTGGTACTCTGCGGCATTGTTGGAGCATGTTTCACCTAAAACAAAGGAGAACGGCAAGACTTGTCTTTCTGGAGAGATCAACACAAAACATGTCCCTACACCATTACGACATGCGTATCCATCAAAGAATATTGTCCATGGTGGAAATTCTTCGATGAACAACACGTCTTCACCTGGAAACTCATCTGAAAGCTCCCATTCTGCCGGAAGAGGGTGATCAGCCAGAAAATTGGCTAGAGCTTGTCCTTTCACAACTTTTTGAGGTGTGTATGTGATCTCATATTGGTTAAACAATATGGACCATCTTGATAGGCGTCCAGAAAGAACAGCTCGAGTCATCACAAACTTCACGGGATCTGCTCGAGAGATGAGTTTGATGGTGTATGCTTCAAAATAATGCCTTAGCTTCTTTATTGCATAAAGTAACGCTAAGCATATTTTCTCAACAGGCGTATAGTTCAACTCAGCCCCTATCAAAGTTCGACTAAGGTAGTACAAGGCTTGTTCCTTTCCTTCCTCATTCTCTTGAGCAAGTAGTGCTCTAAGTAAACGTTCTTATGCCGCGATGTAGAGTATCAATGGCTTCCCAAGCATTGGCGCCCCTAACACAGGTGGATTTAGCAGGTATGTTTTAATGCTTTCAAAAGCATTTTGACATGACTGATCCCAATGAAAAGGGATATCCTTCCTCAATTGATGATTGAAGGGTTGACACCGTCCGGCTAGATTAGAGATGAACCTCCGGATGAATGCTAAGTTGCCTTAGAGACTTCGAAGCTCCCTTAAGTTCTTTGGCTCGGGCATTTTCTGAATGGCGTCAATCTTTGCAGGATCAACTTCAATTCAACGATGACGCACAATGAAGCCAAAAAACTTTCCTGAGGTACCTCCAAATGCACACTTGAGTGGATTCATCTTCAGGTCGAATTTTCTTAACCTTTAAAAACAATTCGAATGTCTTCAAGGTGGTAACGCCTACTCTTCGTCTTCACCACTAAGTCATCGACGTAGCATTCAACCCTTTTATGAAACATGTCATCAAAGATGTTTTGAACCGCGCGTTGGTAGGTGGCACCAGCATTCTTCAGACCGAAGGGCATCACTTTGTAGCAATATATCCCTTTCGGAGATCAAAAAGCAGTACACTCTTCATCTTTTGGAGACATTCTGATTTGATTGTATCTGAAAGACCCATCTATGAATGGCATAGCTTCATACCCTGTTGTAGCATCAACCATGAGTTCAATAGTTGGTAGCGGGAAGTCATCTTTTGGACATGCCTTGTTTAGGTCTCGAAAGTCAACACAAACACGTATTTAACCATTCTTCTTCTTGACAGGTACAATATTAGATATCCATGATGGGTACCTCACCTCTCGAATAAATCCCGCCTCGATGAGCTTGTTGACTTTGGCTTCAATTTGTGATACAAGCTCGGGTTGAAACATGCGTTGTGATTGCTTCACAGGGCGTGCTCCACTTTTGATCCCTAAATAATGAACAACTACCTTAGGACTAAGACCATACATTTCTTTATATGACCAAGCGAAGACATCTTTGTATTCGGTCAACAACTTAGAGTATTCCTCCTCATCTTGAGGCGTAAGCAGCGCACTAATGAAGGTGAGGCGTGGATCTTTCGGAGTACCTAAATTGAGTTCCTTAAGATCATCCACAGTTGATTGCCCGCCATCTTCTAGTTGAGGGGGAGCCTCATGTACTTCATCATCAACGTTAAGGCATGGGCTATCTTCCACAGTTATGTAATAGGATGTTTCCACAAATTCTGACTTTTCTCTTTGACTTCCTTGGATGGTCGGCATGACTTCTTTCTCTTTCTTTGCTTCTTTACGAGGCTGGCAAGTATAAATAATGGTTCTCCTTTGCACCTTCAGTAGACCATCTATGGATATTGACAAAATAGACTCCTCTTCATACGTGATGGGAAAGCACTACAAATTTCTTTGTCAGCAACAACTTCAAAATGATCCTGCTCCTCGTGGACTTGCTCCTTATGTTTTGACAGTATATTTCTAGATGTCGACTTCCTTGTGGTTCTTATGCGACAAAAGATAGAGGTATTTGAGGTAGTGGAAACTTCTTTTAGATGTTTGGAAGCTACATGTTCACCTTTGTGACTTAGCCTTTCAAACACCGAGACCGGAGGGGTTGAGCCTCCCATGCGATCAAATACCAAAGCCCGTTGTTTTATTTTCTTGCCCTTAATTTCCTTTATCTCCTCTACCAAGGTGTATTGTTATGAAGCTATCTCTTTGCTTATCTTTGATGAAATTCGAAGAGGCTCTGCCAAACTGAACCCCAACCCAAACTTTGGAGTGGCGACGTAGTGCCCTTGCTTTCTCAACTTCATTTGGGACTCATTGAGCCCATGTATCTTTTCACCAGTGACTTCGTCTTTGAGTTCTCCTAGTTGAGATGGATTAGAGAAGTCATAACCAGACTTTTCAAGCAGTATAAAGGCCCTAGGATCATAGTGCCCTTTTATTTTATCAGCTTGGAGATTGCCTTTAGCAGACTCACCAATCACGGATGGGATTTGTGCAACTAGGACAGTCATATGCTCCTTCAAATGTTGGATATCTTTGTGACTCATTTGCTTCTTTGGAGTACATTCCTGTAGCAAAGGTTGCCCTTTCTTTCGACGCTCATGTGGGACAAAGCGAAAAACCAGATGCTCCTCAGTCTTTGTCTGTATGTCACCTTCAGATGATGATATCTTAATGGAAACTTATTCCGTTCCCTTCGTAGGCAGCTTGGTGGTAGTCCATTGAGCCTCATTTTCCTCTTCTGACTTAACACCAGCTTTGTCACCTGATGATGGTTTCTCCACTTTCGGTTTACAAGAATCTAGGTAGAATTTTGTGTCTGCAAAGTATGACTCCGTCTCAATGAAAGGCTTGATGTCTGCATCAATTTTGACTATCTCACCATCTCTTCTATACTTTCAGACATTGATGCAAAGTAGATGATACCACCCCATTCTCATGAATCCAAGGACGTCCAAGCAAAGAGTTGTATGATGTTTTAGCATCTATGACGTGAATCATGGTATTTGAATTCATCTCACCAATGGATAATCCTACGCGGATCATACCTATGGCTCGTTGTCCTCCTTGGTTGAAACCTTGGATTGTTAGGCTACTTTTGGATAGCTCATCGATAGAGATCCTAAGATTTTTTAGCACCATCTTTGGCATGATGTTGACAGCCGAACCATCATCAACAAGTATGCGATTGAGATGTTGTTCCCGAATGGACCCTACAACAAACAAAGGTTTGTTATGTAGCTTAGACCCCAACAACAAGTCATCATCTGTGAATGAAATTGTTGTACAACATGTGACAACTTTTCCGTTATCATGATGTTCATGTGTTTTCATTGGAGCAAGCTCATCGTTGCTTTCCTTTGTTTCATTGGTACTAGAAACTACATGAGTTGCACTAACGTGACCTCTATGAAGGAATTTTCTCGGAAAGAATTCATGCAATATGATGGGCTTTCGGAACTTCGGCGATAAGGCACTGTTAATCTTCTTGCTAGTAGAAGATTTGATATTTCTTGGTGATTATAGCCTATCTGCATTGCTCATCATCGCTCTTGAATTAGGAATTTGTAGCCTCAAAACTGCCTGATGTTTTTGCTTCTTGTGAGTGACTAGAATCCAAACCTCATCATCTTTGTCTTTGGAATGATTGTCTAGATCTAGTGAACATTCCAGAGTTTTCCTTGGAAGATCAACTTCAACGGGCTCGAAACTTCCAAATTGTAAGAAGGCAGTGCTTGACACGTTATGCAACTTTGAACATTTCTTTTCCTTGAGCGCGATACTTGCATGATTTGCTTCTGCTGTTTCATCAATGCCTATGATGATTTTTCCTTCACTTACAAGAGCCATGATTTTCTCCTTCAAGACGAAGCATTTCTCTATAGGGTGGCTAATGACGCGATGAAACTTGTAGTTTTCGGATCACCAACTTTGCCAATTTCCTCTGGCCTTTTTGATTCAGGGAGATCGATGACTTTCTTGTCCAGCAGTTCATCAAGGATTGTGGGTACGTCTGAATATGGAAATGGATAAACCTTCGCCTCTAATTCCTTCAAGGTTGGACGACGCTTCTCCTCTTTGGGATATTGACTCGGGGTCTTATCCTCCTTCACATTTTGATTAGTAGTGACCTTCACAAAAGTTACTTTCACCGCCATTGATTCAGGGAGATCGATGACTTTCTTGTCCAGCAGTTCATCAAGGATTGTGGGTACGTCTGAATCTGGAAATGGATAAACCTTCGCCTCTAATTCCTTCAAGGTTGGACGACGCTTCTCCTCTTTGGGATATTGACTCGGGGTCTTATCCTCCTTCACATTTTGCTTAGTAGTGACCTTCACAGAAGTTGCTTTCACCGCCATTGATTCTTTGGTTTGGTTCTTTGATGCAACATTTTTCTTGAACTCCTTTTGATCAGCAAATGGAGATGCCTTTCCATGACTTGTGATGCTTAAATCCATGTCGTGCGCTCGTGTTGCAAGTTCTTCAAAAGTTCGCGGTTTGATCCTTTGTAGAATGTACAAAAGGCCTCAGTGCATTCCTTGAATGCACATCTCCATAACAGATATCTCTAAAAGGCGATCTTTGCAGTCCAAACTTAACGCCCTCTAACGATTAATGTAATCCACCACAAGCTCGTCCTTACTTTGCTTGGTGCCTGTCAACTCTATCATGCTTACAGTCCTTCGGTTACTGTAAAAACGATTGAGGAATTCCTTCTCAAGTTGATCCCAGCTATCAATGGACTCGGGATCCAAGTCAATATACCAGTCAAATGCGTTCCCTTTCAGAGAACGAACAAATTGTTTTACCAAAAGGTCACCATGCATTCCAGCATTGCTACAAATCTTAACAAAGTGGCCAATATGTTGCCTTGGGTTCCTTTTGCCATCAAATTGATGCAGCTTTGGTGGTTGATAATTGGTGGGCATGGTTAAACAATCAATCCTCTTAGTATAAGGCTTAGAGTAGTACAACGAACTTTGCGATGGTCCGCCATATTGAGCTCTGATGGTGTTTGTTATCATGTCTTGCAATTGTTGGACGTATAACGCCGCAACTGAAGTAGATTGCTTTTCCTTTTGAATGTTTAACTTTGCAAATGATTCCTCAACAGTTGTTTTTTGGGAGGTGAAGATAGGTGTATGAGGAGGGACATGGCTCGACTCTCCAGGTGCATAGGCCTCCAATTTGTTCATGAGTTGAGCGATTTGAAGGTCTTTGTCCTCAATAGATTTCTTCAAGACCTCTATAGTTTGTTCCATCATGGCAAAATTTCTGTCCACGCTAGTTGCGTCAGTCATCAAGGCATTGACTTTCGTTGAAACTGAAGAATCTACCAAATCCTCAAATCTGCCAAGGTTTGAGGCTGTTTGAGAAAGTTCGTCAAACACCGAGAATGGGGTGTTGCCCCCAAGGATTGCGGTTGCGAACGTCATATGAGATCTGCTTTTCTTTGCCATCTCCAAGGAGGCGAAGTATTCAGATCCATCCAAGCCACTAGCCTTGAACTTGCTTCGAGTGATTGAGCCAATATGACTGAGCTCAGTGGATGCGGCAATAATAGCATCTTTTCATGAAATATCACACTTGTGGAAGGCCATTATAGCAGTAGATCTAAAGTTTGTAGTTTTCAACTTGCAAGAAGGAGAGATGAAGGGCAGAATTGGTCCCACTGGTCGTGCCAAAATTTATTTGCAATAAATTTTCGTAAGACGAAAAATAAACTACAACAAAAATAATATAAAGAAAAAAAGAGATTTTATTGATAAATATTTGTGAGTACAATTTTATGTATCCCTTGATTCTCCTCTCTAAAATTCTCTGTGATTCGAGGGCTTGAGAAACGTCTTTCTCGAATGTAGGATGATGCGAACCTCCTTGTGATGTATTTAATCGCCAAGAACGTCGAGCATCACTTTGTTGTTACGGGTTGATCTTCGGGAAGATCTCCGTTGATCACTCCTTTGTCGAAGAACTAAGTACTTGATATGATTGATCTCACTATTTGTTGATGCCTTCACCAATTGCGGAGTGTTCTTCTCCAACTCTGTAAACCCTCTATTTATAGTTGTAGAGAGTGGATAGTCTAGCTACATATGAACTCTCTTGCTTGATTCTGACTGGCTCATGTCATTTTAGCCACTTGGCGACCTGTGGTTGGTTCTTGCTTTTTGACTTGGATTGCCACATCATTTAACACACGGCGTCATCTTGTTGGCTTGCAGTTTGACTAGATATGTCATGTCATTTGACACATGGTACGAGTCTGGGCCTTAAGATGAAGAGAACCTTGGGCTCGAAAATAATAAAATGGACTAATTTAACTTGTAAAGCCCAAATTAATTATTTAACCCAATTGAATTTAATCCAAATTTTATATGGATTAGACCCAATAAATTTTATATGTCTACAGTATGCACTGAATTAAGTTGATTGCGGAAATAGGGCTTGGTGGTGCACGCACACTACTGGAAGCAAATGTAATCAAAGCAATCACATATAGAGGTTGCATTAAGAGTGGTGAGGTACATCAAATTTGCACTAGGTTTTGGACTGTTGATGCCTTTTGAGAGGTTAAGAAGTCTATTAGCATTTTGTGACACAAATTAGGGTAGTTGCCTACATATTAGAAGATATTTTACAGGTTATCTTATCAAATTTGGAGATGAATTGGTATCTTGAAAATCCAAGCAAAGGACAATAGCCAGAAGCTCTGTTGAAATAGAGTTCAGAAATATGGCTTCAGCAGTAGCAAAATTCATATGGCTGACATGGTTATATAAGGAATTTGGAGTGCATGTTGAGTTACCTATAAGTCTCTACTGTGATAGGAGAGTTGCAATCCATATTGTAACTAATCCTATTTTTCATGAACGAACAAAACATATAAATCATGTAGCTACTCGGGAATCACCCCAGCTTGAGGGAGGGTGTTGAGATAGATGTATTGTGAGGAGGTGATAGTTAGGGCTGTTCCAAATCGAACCGAAACAGTTAACTAAACCGAACCGATGGCTTATTGGCTTATTGGTATCGTATTATCGGGGTAGTGGATGGTGAACAAATTGAGATTTTATAATTAACGGCTTACCGATTTAGGGGCGGATTACTCAATTTTCTTATAGGATAAATCGTTAACCCGTTAAGAATTTTTATATTTATACTTTTACACCCTATGTATATAAAGTACTATTGAAATCCTAAATGGTTAAATCCCTAATGTCTATTTTCTAATTCTCAATTGTCTGTAGCCACCAGAGGCAGAGAAGTCGTCAGTCTCGTCTCTCTCTTGAACTTCGAACTGAGAAATCGAAAAATCGAAATCTGAATGATTAATACGTAGTCTTGATGGTATTAAAATTTTGGTTAATACGTGTATGACAGTATGAGTAGTCCCGAAGGCTCTTCAATTCAAAAATACGGTTTGGTTAGATCTTAGAAGGTATTAAAAATTTGGCATTAATTTGAACTGTTTGGTATTGATTGAATGATTGTTCAAATATTTTCTATTTGGTTTAGCCGATAAGCCGCCCGATAACCGCCCGGTAATTATCAATCTGATACCAATCCGCATGTTATCTTATTAGATGGCTAGAGGATTACTACATTTATAATCTGATAACTGTTAAGTCGAACCATTAAGCGTAATTATCCGTCCGATTTGCCCGATAAACACCCCTAGTGATAGTTGTACACACCTGTATAACTTAGGGGTCGTTTGGTATGATGCGTTAGATAAAATAATGCAAGCATTAGCTTTGTGTATTAATACCTTGTTCAATACACCTTTTGAACCTATGCATTAGTTATACACCATATTTGGTATTATCTTATGCATAAGTAATGCATAGAAAACCATGTCATTAACAAATGCAATGGATTTTAATGCATGCATTAGCTTAATTAAAGACAAAATTATCCTTCAAAATTTTATCTTGATTAAAATATGATATTATATTAATGTGAGTTTAAAATAATCCAAAAAAGTAAGAAATAAAACTATATCCCTATTAAATAATTAAATACTTAGCATATTCCTTCTTTTATAAATATTCTTCACTAGAATATAGCGAGTAGACAAATCAAATAATTTGTTTAAACCCTTTTCATATAAAAATATTTTTCAACATATATGTTTCTTTTTAAAAAGATGAAGTGATGAACTGGTTATGAGAGTATTTTGGGTGAAATTCAAAAATAGCCAGATTTACAACTGGTCGTTCAAAAATAGCCCAATTTGAAAAGTAATCGAAATTTAGCCACTTTTCATGTAAAGATAAATCTGAGCAAAAACACTGTTAAAAACTCGAAAAATACGCCAGTATATTATGCTGGAGTTAAGTATACTTATACTGGAGTTCCAAGATAAGTATGCTGGAACTCTAGCATAATATACTGGAGTTCCAGCAAGTATACCGGTCCAGCATAATATACTGGAGTTTGGAGCATCGGTGCTCCAGTCTCCAGTATATTATACTAGAGCCAGCAAAGTATACCGGTCCAGCATAATATGCTGGAGTTCATACACATGTGCACCGAACTCCAGTATATTTTGCTGGACCGGTCTCTACTGCATCAAAATAGTGGCTATTTTTCATTGACTTGGTAAACGTTGGCTATTTTTGAATGACCAGTCCGAAAACTGGCTATACCGTGCTATTTTTACGAGTATTTTTGTAAACAAATAATTTTTTAGAAATTGTGTAACACTTTAATACATCAAATCAAACAATGAATAAGAAATATGTCAGCACAACTAATACAATCATAACTAATATCAGCATTACTAATACACCCTATCCAACATTATTTTTATGCACCATACCAAACAACACCTTAATGTAATTAGAGTGTGATTAGTTGACCAGTATAACAATACATTTCAGCTCATGCACATATAATAAGAAGCAGTTAGTTTTCTTTGTCGATCATCTCCTTCTCCTTTCCCTTATTTCCTCTCTTCATAATTGTTGTGCATCTGAAGGATCTAGAAGGTCATCAGATATACCCCTGTACTGTAGAAAAAAAGTTTAAATTTACCATTCATTATACTTTGGAACCAAATATACTCCTATTGTAATACTATTGGTTCAACTATACCCCCTCTTATATTAAGTTTGTCCAAGATGGACATCCAATCCTACGTAGCACTGACATTTGATGAAGTGGATACCACATGACATACTACCTCATCGCCCTAATCCATATATAAAAGAGTAAAATTTAAAATATAACATTTTTCATGGTAGTGATAATGGTGGCAATAGTGGTGGTGGGGAAGAAAATTTTAGTGGTTGAAAAAAAAATA